TGATTTTCGATTCCCCATCAGCCGCCCATAGAAAACAAGGTAAAAATTGTCTCGTCACAACGAATACTTTTCCTGGGTATTTCCGCTTTAACGAAGTTTTTGCGAGTACTGCCCCATAAGAAAAAGGAACTTTCTTCGGATTGCCGCGAAATTTTTACACAAACTTGGCCATTTCTCGACAGCTCGTGACACCCAGAGCACATGGCCGTATCGCAGCAGCCGTGTTTTCATCATATGAATGCTTTTTGCCACCACTCGCACACGTCGCTAAATTTATTGCCATTGAAATGCTCAGTGACAGCTCTCCCATTCGCCATCATGCTGCCGGTAGATTTGATGCACATGCTAGCCGCGGCACAATCATGAGTGCCTGTGATTGCACCCAAAGTTCATAACAACGCCCCCCTCCCCCCCTTGCGTTGCTAGTTCCTTCCGGCTTTTTGAAGATGGCCAGCACGTTCCTCTTTGTTTTAGTAACAATCGATGGCACGCCTGGCACACATGGTTATGCTATTGCATCTGCACTCTGTGCAAAGGAGGTAGGTCGGCTCTTTTATTCAATTGTCCAGACAGTCTCGACTGGTTTTTTGCCGTCGCCACCCCCATTCATCATAAATGTATACGTATCTATATATATGAAAGCTCAGAAGAGAAAAAAAAAGGCTGCCCGCGCTTGGCGCCCACCTCGTAACGATGCGCGCTTATTTCCCACGTGTACTTTGTCCCGCGATTGGGGAGGGGGGAGGGGTAGATACTTGTGCTTGCGCGCTTATCCTTCAGTGGGGAGAATCGTGTGCTTTCGGCTTTCATCGTTACGATTGCGTTAGTTACCGGGTACGACACAAACGTCGCTTCACTGGCTGCTCAGGCCCTGTTTGCGAAAAAAGTGCGCTTTTCATACACAGCGAAGTTAAACAACTGCACTCTAAGCCAAAATTCGGCAAAGTTGGACTAACTGCAGTCGTTAAACCAATGGACAAACAGTTCATCCAACAGGGACTAAATGCACGGCAGTGCGTGTCGTGCGCAAACGCCCGGCAATGAAGAGACCAACGGAGAGGGTAACTGCGCCGCGATCGCCTCCGGTCAATGCTGCACTGCAATGCTCGGCGTGGTCGGCGATCATGAAAACAAGTTATATAGGCTATACGACACTGTGAAAGCGAAGCAATATGAAACGAATAGAAGATGTTATGAGAGGCAAGTAGTACAACACGCAGTCAGTGCGCACAACAAGCGCCCTTGCGTTTTCACCATTCCGGCACGGGCGGGCCGAAACCAAGTGAAAATTGCCGAACACGGGCAAGGCAGATAACTCGCTTCAATGTGCTGAATTAGTTCGAACTACGATGAACACTGACAACGCTAATAAAAGTAAGCTGTTCATCAGCGGTCGTGTACCCACACAGTGACCACAACTTCAAAGCGATATACAAAAAAAGTAGGCTTCGTACGTCTTCGGTATCAAGCTGGCTGCCGGTGTGAGTGCATTGCCGGCACAAGCGATGGAAACGTCGCGTACAAATTCACTGAAAATGTAGCTCAGACAAACTTATGTCTTTTTTCTCCATGCGACAATCGTTATCGAAAATCCAGCGTGTAGGTGATCGCGGATACGACTAATCGTGCGGCCGGCGGTACACAGGGAGCGACTTACCAGCACGATGAAAGAACCGTGCCTGTAAACGGTCTCTTCGCTGTAAGTATACAGATATCTACATCACCCGGTAAGACACCTCGAACATGGGACACTTACCTATTGTTCATTTGTGACAATAAAATAACGACGACGAAAATTCCACGCGAGCCGCATGTTGCGATCGCCGGCGGTCGTTAGCCGTACTCGTCGTAAGCCTAGCGACGCCGTCGGCAAGCCGACACGGTATGGCATCGGCGGGGCACCTGGCTGCTTCGCCGGCTTTCCCGCATAAGCGCCGCTGCTATGTTTGTGTTAGCGGACTCGTGCGCCAGCACTGAGAATGCTGGTTCGGCCGACATGATCGAATGCAAGCTGATGATTCGTAGTCTCGGGCTGGAGGCACGTTGAAGATTAGATGGATCCATATTAAAAGATCGGTGGGCATCGGTGCTACGAATTAGCCCATGTAAATTTTAGCGTTACGGTATCAATATTTACTGTTTTTTAAGCCGAGTAAAAGTCGCCCACTGGCCCTAGATGGAAGGTCAAAATACTGTGCTATATATACCCGATAGTCTGCTGTCATAGTATAGCGCAGGCAGTCAGTGTTTGTGGTGTTTTACTTTGAAATAATAGGGTGTATGTATATATATGTGTGTGTGTTTGTGTTGCATGAATAACACGCTATGTTTCTCAATGCTGAATAAATTGGAATGAACATATAATATACTCCACAAATGCAGTGTCGTCATTTTTTTTTTTTTTTGCAATTGGTCCAGACGGTTCAACTGTTAAACCTACTGGAGCATTCTACTGCGACCAACATTTAAACCAAGTGGAGTAAGTGCTTGGGGTAACAGTTGAACCCTTGCAGTAACTCCCGCAGTTAGTTCAAAATTGGTTCAAAATCTGTGGCAGCACATTTAGACCCCTAAAGGACCAATGGCATACCCCACTTTAGTCATTTTCGGCTTAGAGTGTGGGACACTTGTTAGCTTGCACTTATTTATACTCGTCACTACGTTTCGTGCGTCGTTTATGTTTAAACAGTGTGTTAAGTGTTGAGCGATAAACGTGTTATTTCACTCTAGTCTTGTGTATATTGTTTTCGTGAGTCATTTGTGCATCAGCAGCGCGCTGCACGTTTCGATCTGCTTGCCGTTCTCAGCGTTACATTCCAAGTTGTTGCTACTGCACTCATTGCTTCGCCCTTAATTGCGGAGAAACTGCGACTTTTTTTATTTCTGCTTTACCTGCGTCCGTCACCCCTGCTCGCGCGCTTTTGCCCTCTTGTAAAACACACGATGCGGGGGGGGGGGGGGTGATATTGATTTGAATATTACACAAAACAAGCTGACGACAGCCCGTGGCATAGCCAGGCAGGTGGAAAGGGGGAACTTCGGGAACATGCTCCCCTTCCCCCCCTCCGAAATATTTTTTGCCATGGCGTATATATAGCTCAATGTTACCCTTTGCATGCTCCCCCCTTCAGATTAACGTGCACCCCCCCACCAATTAATTTTACCTACGCCCCTGGCAATAGTAAAGACCGGTCAAGAATTTCCTTGTAACAGCTATCGCATTAAAACAGAATTTTTCTTGCCTTCTAGTCGTCTTAGGCATATGCATAAGGTACCCTGTAAGCTTTTTTCTTCTTTATGCACTGCTTTCTAGAACACAACAGTGGGATTTTGGAGTATAGGCAGAATGCCCTAGCCACATAAAACATCGCTGCAAAATGAAAACAAAGTTTGCTAAATCTTGTAGTTTCAGCACACAGAGTACCGAAAGAGGTTGGCTTTATGAGACTAGCTAAGTGACATCATGTTAAGCCCGGCAGTATAATCAGTTGTGAAGAAAAATAACCTTTCTATATCCTTGGAGTCAAAGGGAAATGCAGTTGCGACTGTGTGTATCTCTAGTGTTGTACGTCACAGCATTTTTCTATCATATATACTGATAACCACATAGGTGTATAGAATGTTGTTTCATGAAGTACAATTTTATTCAACCATTATATTGTTTATTTGCTACGAAAATAATTACTGAACAAATTTTTTCAGAATGGCCAACATAATGATGCCATTATTCTTGCATCATCAACTAAAATAGGGAGTGCTCCAAAATATTTGAAATGAAGAAATATTTCTATCTCTTCACAGGAGACAAGAGCCCCAAAATAAATATTCATGCCCTTGAATGTAAATGCAACTTGCTTCTCCGCCAAGTTGTGAAGCTAGTGGCTCAAGATTGCTCCAAAATGAAAAATTTTGCTGCTCTAAAGTACTTCAAAATTAAAATTTTGCTGCTTCAAAGTGCTCCGAAATGAAAATTTCACTGCTTCAAAAATTGCTTCAAATTAGAACACCTTGATGGCATCACTGTTCCGGTGGATTTGGTGCGCATGCGGGCGGCAGCAGAATCGCGATCTTCCAGAAGCCCCGCCATATGTTTGAAACGTTGGAAACGCCTGCCTTTTCATGCAGGCGTTGCATTATCACCGCAGTGTGATAAACGCTACAGTCCTTAGAATTACTTCTGTATGCCTTTTCTCGTATAAAGGCACACAAACAGAATACTGACGTGTTATGGTGCCTCAGATTTGCCCAATAATCACTTTTTAATTGACAATCAAACAAGTATGACCGCTAATTTTGGAGCAATATTGGTGGGCGCTGTGGATGGGGTTCGCCGTTTGGGGTACAATTTGGTGTCATTAAGGGTACGTTAAGGCCGGACAAATGGACAAATGTACGGACAGAGAGACATACCAAAATTTTTGCGTCGGAGGTCTCCAAGAAAGACTATCATCTTTAGCGAAACACTACCTGTGCGTTGTTATACCCAACAAAACTATCGAGTGATCGCCAGTGCCCGGTGTGCTTGCTATTACCCTCTATCCGTACGGTTATTTGCACAAGAAGCTTGTTAAGGTGTACCATCTGTCATAAAAGAAAGAAATGGTGCTGCGAAAAGTGTGTCGTCATGCTTTGCAAGAACCGTTGGTGCTTCAACAAGCTTTAAATGCCAAGGTAACTTTGGTATTAGTTTGGGAAAAGCCTAGCTTTGCTTGCTCAATGTTATGTTATGTCATGAGCCCAGCGTACTTTTGAAAGTACAGTATTATAACCGCTGAAGAATTAAATGTAACTCTATAAAAATTTGCATCTGTTTTTGTGTACTGTAGTTTGATAATTATGTAAACTTTAGATGAAATGCAACCAGTAGTTCCTGTATGGGCCATATTAGGTTAATTGGTTTTTCACTAGTTTTGGTCTAGAAAAGGTGTCAAGTAAATACATAGCCCTACTTTTAATTATGATCCTTGCTGAAACCTCTTAACTGCTTTGATCTTGTGCAGCACACGAAGCCAGTCTCCTTTGAATGCTGAACCAAAGGACGAACCTGCACTGCAGGTGAAGGGAAAGCCAGGGCCACAAGGAGCAGCGGTACAAGTCAAGGAAGAGCCAGGGGTTCAAGAAGCAGCTTCAGAAGAAAAGCAAGAAGGAAGTGCTCAAGGAAAAGAGGCATCAGCGCAGCAGCCAGCAACTGAAATGAAAGTGGAGGCAAAGGAGCTAGTCAATGCTGAATCAGTTATGCAACTGAAGGAAGAGGGAGGAGTACAACAACAACAAAAAAAAAGGCGATTGGACTGATAGAAAAAATGTACAGTTACAAGGTCACATCTGCAGTCATTTGTAGCTCTCTTTTTTCTTGAAGCTCTTTAATGCAGATCAAATGCCCGTGTTTAAATACAGTGCATAAGTTCAAAGTACCTGAATAGTATAATGTTACTGTGATATTTTTATTTTCATGACAGCAAGGATTGTAAGCCCCAGTCATTGCACAGTTTACGGCAGTGTATGAATATTCTTCATGAAAAGTATTACTACTACAATTTTTAGTGCACTACAGTTTTTAGTACAGTGTGTTCAAATAAATTTGCATTATTGTTTTATTCCAGTGGTCTTGCTTTATTGAGGCATTTTTGTCAATTTTGCATAATTTATTTATTTATTTATTTATTTAAATAAATAATACCTAAAGTTCGAATGCAGTTTCATTATAACTTCATGATGTCAGAAGTCCTGCTAAGTGGAGATTGTAATCACTGAGGTATGCACATAAAAAATGGCAGCGAACATAGGTGAAGTATAAAATTTATGTAAAACTTTCATTGCACTACACCACTCTCTTTTAAAAAAGGAAAGCATAATTAGAATTTGAATTCCGCTGCTAGGTCGTAGCACCTGTGAACATTCACCGAAGTTCCTGTTGCTCCAAGCCTTGAAGGAGTGAAGTTTGACGTTTTGCAATATCGACCTATTAATTTTTAAACTTGATATTTAGAACTAAATATTTTTTAAAAATTTTTTACACCATCATGAAGAATGAAGGAACTCTGAAATAAAAGTCACAGCTTTGCTGCAAAGGCAAAACAACGCGATAGCAAGAAAATGGAATGTCACGCTCAAAATGGCAAGCAGATCAAAACGTTCTCCACGTTTCTCACGTGCCAAAAACGCACGAAACATACAGGTACAGATGAAAGCGAATAAGCGTCCCATTTGTTACTTCACTGTGTCTGAAAAGTGCGCTCTTTTCGCAAACGGAGACCGTGCAACGATTGCAGTGACCTATGTGCGCCCAATAACTACAACAGAATTGCTCCGGTGAAAGCCAAAGGCCGGCAAAGACGCATGACCCTCCCTACCGTGAGCACAGGCCGAACGAGTACGTGTGGGAGATGAGAGCGCACGCCATCACGATGTGGTGACGCGCGCTCATTGCGCCATCTTGCTGGTAATGCTGAAAACACGATAGTCACACCCCCCCCTACGAGATGCCCATCCCCAGCGGTAAGTGGTAGATCTTTTATTTCACTTTTTTTTTCTTGAAAGTTCAATAGGTCTCCAGTGATGCTTTCGTAAGCATTCCAATTTTCTGCATGTCCCTCTCTGTTTCCTTCACCTGCTTCCTAACAAATGTTTTCTTTTAACTTGGTATTCTGCTATTGTGTAAATGCTTGCTTGAAAATTTTTGAGTTCGTTTTATACACTTAGTAGTAACATTCTTCATGTACAAGTAGTTGAAAAAATTCCCAGCCCAATGCTCCTTTCCCATTTTGCTCAATCGCTCGTTACCCAAATTTATCTTGCTGCTAGCTTCCTTGCACTCAAACGATGTACATCTCGTGTAACCTGTACCCCCTGATTTGGAGTATTCAATTGCGCTCTCAAAGCAAGTCTACCTATGCCACGTTTAATTTCCAATCTTGCTTGAACCTCCGATTTCATACACAAGACCGCATTGACAAACGTCAAACCCGGGACCATTACACCTTTCCAAGTTCCTCTCACATCATACATATTGTAGTTCCACACTGCCCTATTTTTCATTAAAGCTATATTGCTCTTATCCTTCGTCATTACTAGAGGCTGGATTTTTAGGCACTAAAAAGTGTGTTTTAGGCGCCAAAGGCAGGCAGGTAAAACACTGTTTTAAGCCTTCAAAATCATAATTATAGACACAATAAATTACAAAATCCCATAACAACGATTAACAAGGTTACTTGCACCTGTGACGTCGCCTGCTTTGTCCCCTCCCACTCCCACCACTACTTCGCTGAAGCTGGGGCTTGTGACCGTTGAACCGGCTGAACCTGTTTTGGATGGATGGATGAATGAATGAATGAATGAATGAATGAATGAATGAATGAATGAATGAATGAATGAATGAATATATCTGGTTGTGCCCTTTATATCGGGCGGTGGCTCATGCCACCTAGCCTTAAAATTAAGTAATATCACTATGTGCTTAAGGATTGAATTTCACTCGCGTCTTGATTGTAGCCACCAATCAGTTAGCCTCCTCCAGGGTATTTTCACCCGTTTAAAGTCTATTTTGCCTTCACTGTCCCTTAACACCAATGCTTTGAAAAATTCCATGACATTATCTTGGACTATTGGGTGGAACTTTTTAAAAGACATTATCAAATGTTCAGTAGTTTCCTCTTCCTGTCCACACGCACTACATATCGTGTCTGTGCCTTTGTATTAGGCTCGGTAAGTCTTGGTCCGCAATACTCCTGTTCTGGCCTCGAACAGCAGAGAACCACCCTTAGAATTATCCTGTATTCTTTCTTTTGCAATTTCCTGCATGAAAGTTCAGTAGGTCTCCAGCGATGATTTCATAAGCATTCCAATCTTCCACATGTCCCTCTTTGTTTCCTTCACCTTCTTCTTAACCGATGTTTCTTTTTGGCTTGGTATGCTGCTGTTATCTATATACTTGCTTGACAATTTTTGAGTTCGCTTCCTCCATTCACTATCAACATTTTTTATGTAGCTGAAAACTTTCCTAGCCCAACGCTCCTCTTCTATTTTTCTCAATCGCACCTCAAATTCTAACTTGCTGCTAGCTTCCTTGCACTCAAATGATGTCCATCCCATGTCACCCATACCACCTGAATTGGGGTATTCCCATGTGCGCCCAAAGCAAGTGTACCTATGCCACGTTGTTTAATTTCCAATCTTGCTTGAACATCTGATTTCATGCACAAGACTGCATCGCCAAACATCAAATGTGAGACCATGACACCTTTCCAAATCCCTCTCACGACGTCATACCTATCGAAGTTCCACAGTGCCCTATTTTTCAATACAGCTGCATTCCTATTGCCCTTAGTCATTACGTACCTTTCGTGCTCCATTTGATACTTTCCCCCGTTATTTATCCATACGCCCAAATATTTGTATTTATGCACTATTTCTAGCTTGACTTCCTGTATCTTATGCTCACTGCCTTTGTTATCATTAAAGGTCATGATTGCCGATTTTTCCCTGCTGAAGTTCAAATTTAACCTATCTACCTCATTACCACAGATGTCTGTCAAATCCCTGCAGATCTTCCTTGTTGTTGGCTATTATTACTATATCATCTGCATACATTAATGCTGGTAATGACTGTTAAATATGTTTTCCTTGCTTGGAAAAAGAGAGGCCGAAGCTGAAGTCGACTCTCCTTTAATTTAGCTCCTAGTCCCTGTAGATACAGCACAAATAACAAAAATGACAAGGGACATCCCTGTCGAAGCCCGCGTTGATTTTTAATAAGTTCAGGTACCTGTTCTTCCCATTTGATAACTACCTTGTTACTTTTAGAGGTATCCTTTAGAAGATTAGTTATTCCATCTTCCACATCTAGTGTGTCCAGTATTCCCCACAAGTCTTCTTGAATCACACTATCGTGAGCTCCCTTGATATCTAAAAATGCCAGCCTTAGGGGCCTGTGTTATTTTTCCACTATTTCAATACACTGCATCAATAAAAACAGATTGTCCTCCAACCTCCTTCATTGACGGAACCCATTTTGTAGTTCACCCAGCCCCCTCTTATTCTCCACCCATTTCTGTAGTCTTTCCTTTACCATCTGCATCACCAGCCTATAAACTACTGATGTCACTGTTATATGAAATCAGTGTACGGTGGCTAGAAGGAAAGGTGTCAGCATCGGCGTGCCGGAGAGCGAGGGAGAATTCATCCGGATGTGGCGGCACTGCGGTCACTTTCAAGATGCCCTTCCTCATGCCCGCGCGCGCATCAGTCGTTTTTTGTTGCAAATATTTCACGTTACCTTGTGGATTATAACAAAATATACCTGTCAGAATTGTGGCGGCGAGCTGCAAAGCATGTATTGGAACTAAAAACCAGTGTTTTCTATTCACTTCGTAATATATGAGCTACGAAGATTACACGGTAGAGAATCAAGTGACTTGCCGTGAGCGTGACATCAAAACAAAGTGCGCGCAGTTTTCACTTTGATGCCACAGTGTTCTCCGTGAAGCCTCAATGCACGTGAAGGTATCGGCCACCATTATTTTTTATGACTTATGCAATCAAGGTCTTAGGTGGTGTTGGTGGTGGTGTTGCAGCAGGCGGGGTTAGCCTGGCCTGCATGGCCGGCAATTGTTCCGCCTGAGCATCTCCTGAATTTTGAAAATGTCACCACGTGTCAGACAGCCCAGTGTCTCGCAGGAAGACCAACAAAGTTCGTTGCACGTTCCTCCTAGTTGCCGCGGGTCCTTCAGGAAAGATGATGTCATCAACTGTCCGGTGCCTATGACAGCCTTTTCGCAAGGTGCGGATCATCGCTGCTCTTTGCGCATCAAACTGTGGGCAAAGCCAAATGAAATGTTCAACATCCCCGATGTCACCACAGAAGGCACAGAACGGGGAAGCGTATCTCCCAGTCTTGAATGACCAGGCCGGGGTGTATGCGGAGCCGGTTCTAATGCGGTACAACAGCGTCGCTTCTTCACGAGAAAGTCCATGAATTACACATGCTTGGTGTGGAAACTTGTAGATCGCCTTGAAATGATTGCGTATCACATCTTTGTTGTTCTTGTAAGTCTTGGGAGTTCTTACTTTTGGAAACGATGTACGTGCTTCGCATGCAAGGGCATCAGCCTTTTCATTGCCCTCAATGCCAACGTGGGATGGGATCCACTGGAACTTTATATTGAAACTCTTGCCATTTAGGTGTTTGATTAGTGCCAGAGATTGCCTGGTGAACTTTTCTTGAGGTAGGCCACGTGCAGTCTTTGTAGCGCCGCTTTGGAGTCCGTCAGCACTACAACATCTCGTGCAGAAAAGGATCGCAGTTTTCGCAAAGCCGCCGTAATTGCAGCGCTCTCTACCGTTGTGGACAAAACTACGTGATCCAGGCGGCCCGACCATGACACGCCCAGGCTGGGTATGCAGAAAGCCGCTGCGCAGCTATCCGTCTGTGTGCACACTGATCCGTCGTTGTACACTTGTAGGTGGCCGCGGTACATGGTGCTCAAGTGGTCCAGCGCAAGAAATTTTGCTTCCGTGGCTGGAATGGTGCGCTTCGCTGGTAGATTGGGTACGCTGTAGTTGCACGCAACATCCATAAAAGACCATGGCGGGTCCATAG